TGTATTCTTTCATTATTTCAAATATTTGGACAAAAAATTTGGGTGTAATTCGTCTTGCATACCGTTTCTCTAGAGGAAAGGTTGCGGCCTGTGCTAAGCACTATCTTGGAGACGGTGGCACAACGAAGGGCATCAATGAGAACAACACTGTGATTGATTTGAATGGATTGCTCCGTATTCACATGCCTGCATACCTCAACTCCATCCTCAAGGGTGTTGCAACAGTTATGGTGTCTTACTCGAGTTGGAATGGGAAGAAAATGCACGCAAACAAAGAACTTGTAACCGGATACCTTAAGGACAAGCTACGTTTCCGGGTAAGGAACGTCATTTTACATAACTTGTCTGCTGTGGTGCTGATTACTAGTGCTGGGCATAACTGTCTCTTGGTGGGTGCTGTCAGGGTTTCGTCATATCAGATTGGGAAGGTATTGACAGGATTACATCTCCTCCCAAAGCTAACTATTCATATTCGGTTCAAGCTGGAGTTAGTGCTGGAATCGACATGGTTAGTCTAATTCAAAGTGTAACTTTTGGCCATTATATTGTAATAAACTTTCGGTATGCTGTTTATATTATAGTACTACCTCAAGATGAGACATGCCAGGTTTTTATTTTCGTTTGCTAACGTATATCTGGGGTTGTTACAGATAATGGTTCCCTACAACTTCACTGACTTTATTGATGATCTAACATATCAAGTCAAGAACAATATCATCCCCATGAGCAGGATCGATGATGCCGTGAAGAGAATTTTGAGGGTTAAGTTTGTTATGGGGCTTTTTGAGAATCCCTTGGCGGATCTCAGCCTGGCCAGCCAGCTGGGAAGTAAGGTCCGTATGTTTCTAGCTCGTTGATACAAAGTAAATTTGATCTCTTCATCTGCCGTATTCAAACCCTTTTCTTCAAATGCTGGCCTTTCACAGGAGCACAGAGAATTGGCGAGGGAAGCTGTAAGAAAATCACTCGTTCTGCTAAAGAATGGAAAATCTGCTTATAAGCCATTGCTTCCCCTTCCCAAGAAAGCTGGGAAGATACTAGTAGCAGGAAGCCACGCTGACAACTTGGGCAATCAATGTGGAGGCTGGACAATCACATGGCAGGGCCTTGAAGGCAACAATAATACAATGGGTACGTGTTGAGTTAACCATTGCGCCTTCATCGGTCTTTTGAATGATCTCTCAAACTCACCTGATCAAAGTCTTTGTGAGTATGTTCTGTTATAGTATATTCGTATACCCAAAAGTTTATTAATCAATGATTCAACGTTGTATCAGGTACCACAATCCTCAGTGCCATAAAAAGTACAGTTGATCCTACCACCCAAGTTGTCTACAACGAGAACCCCGATGCCAACTTTGTCAAGTCCAACAAATTTTCCTATGCTATTGTTGTTGTGGGCGAACCCCCATATGCTGAAACATTTGGAGATAACTTGAATCTGACCATACCACAACCTGGACCGAGCACAATAGCCAATGTGTGTGGAGCTGTGAAATGTGTTGTCGTGGTTATTTCTGGCCGCCCTGTCGTGATTCAACCCTATCTTGCTGGAATTGACGCACTTGTCGCAGCTTGGCTTCCGGGAACAGAAGGCCAAGGCGTGACGGATGCATTATTTGGTGATTATGGATTCACTGGCAAGCTTGCACGCACATGGTTTAAGACAGTAGACCAGCTCCCAATGAACGTTGGTGATCCACATTACGACCCTCTATTTCCTTTCGGATTTGGTCTCACTACCAAGCCAACCAAGAATTAGTAATACAGGGACCGTTCGTATCCGATCATGAAGGGTTGTTGCTCGCTGTTTCATGGATAAGATTTTGTAGAACAACAGTCCTTTCCCATGAGAGAGCATAACAATATGTTGTATCGTTACTGTCGTCGATTTTTCTGGAAACCGTAGAGGGAATGCTGTATTTGCAAACTCATTGTCATTGTCATGGTTAAAAGTACAAGTTATTCGATTTAAATGATAAGCAGAATTATTTTACTCTAGGCCAAATATTCTGGAAAACAAGATACGATACCAAGTTTATACCCGTGGTTTCAATTTCAACATTTAGCATTTTTAGCCAATGAGGGTTGGTTGAGTTGGTAATGATGTTCTCTTTGTAACCTAAGGCCTAGATTTGAGTCCCGCCGACAATTTGTCTTGGTGGGCGATATTTAAAACCCAAAAATGGGGGTACAACTCTCTGTAAATGTCCAAAACAGGCGTTTGTGCTATGCCTTGGCCTTAGAATGGGTAACCTTCCCCTCCTAAACTTTTGGGTAGCAAACATTTAGCGTTTTCAATTTGCTTCAATGTGGTGCGACCATTAGCTGCCCCGTCAATAGGCATTTTGATAAGAGAGAACCTAACCAGTTTAATAGGCATTTTCAATTTACTTTCACTTATGAATGACTGAAGTGGTGTTATTGAATATAACCAGTTTATATTTAATTCCATCTCAGTAGTTTTTTTGGTACAATATCGAGAAAATTAAAGTCCTTAACAGGTAGGGCATTAAAAAGAACTAAACTTGGGCCAAACATGCACAATCCTTTATAAAAGAAGTTTTATTACTTGTGGTGCAAGTATTCAGTATACATATAACTTATTCTAAATACAACACATCTTTCTGTTGGAAGAAATCAGTGGCATAGCCAGAAACACTTTGAAGGAGGGTCAACGTCAAATAACTATAAGATTAAAAGATAATAAGAAAAACTCATATAAAAATAACAGTCCTTAGTCTTAATGGTATTCATAAAACATTCTACTAAAATTACAATTGCTCTCGACGAGAATTTAGTAAAATTATCAGAGAGACGGGTTAGAGGCCCACTTCTAACAACAACATCGTCCCCAACTTGTTAAGTAGCACCTGCACAATCTGTCAGGTATGAAGTTTTATCACAAAAGGCCTGGGTATTAGTTGGAATGAGGGGTAGGATACTTAAACTCCTCTTTCTTAAAGATACGATCGATATGGAATATTTCAACACGCCTTCTTGACCCAATTAGTGGGTCACAAGTGGGATATTCACACATAGACAACCACGTGGAGCCTAGGGGACTCACCCTATATACGGGGCCAAGGGGACCCAGCCATCACGTGGCAGTAGAGTACTGACCTGCTTCCTGACTCTGATACCATATAAAATTATTAGAGAGACGGGACAAAGGCTCACTTCCAACAACATCAATATTGTCCCCAACTTGTTAATTACCACCTGCACAATCCGTCATGTGTAAGATTTTATTACAAAATGTCTCGCTATTAGTTGGAGTGGGGTTGGATATTTAAACTCTTTTTTTTTTTCCTCAAAGATACGGTCAATGTGAGATACTTCAACATTTTCATGGTATGGAATCTTCTCGTAATCACATCATTGTCAATATTATCAAGTTTCGAAAGTCACTTTTCAATATATTCATAGCAGAAAAAGCTCTTTCAACACTAGCAATGGCAACTGGTAAGATTAGTGCTACTGTCACGAGCGAGAAAATTGTAAATTAAGAGTTTAAGAATTACCCAATTGATTTGTTGATTCAGAAGAGAATTCCAAAGACGAATTAGTGAAGGCTTGCTATCTTAAGAGTTGGAGATGCCTGATTCTCTGAATAGAAGAAGTTTAAAAAAAAAATTGATGATGGAAAAGAACTTTAAAGTTTAATGCTTATTGATTGATTACCTTTTCAATCTATGTAATTCCCCTAATTTCACTGTCTCACTTTGAAAAAATGAGAGTTTCACTATCTCACTTTGAAAAAATCTCCTTAGCATTTCTCCACCTAACAAATAGGAATAAAGTTGTTTAGTTGGCCGCAAGGGTAAATATATAAGAATATAGTAGATTATCAATCAATTATAATATTAATACATAGGAATCCTTTAACAAGAGGGATCCCCATTTTTCTAAAAAAATGGGAACACCCTCTTGACCGTTAGATTTGACTTTAATGAAATTGTGTGGTTGAGATTGTGTGGCCTGTGATTTAGTCTCAACCACACAATTTCATTAAAGCCAATTCAAAAGTCAAGAGGGTGTCCTCATTTTTTTAGAAAAATAAGAATCCCTCTCGTTAAAGGGCCTGTTAATACATAATATTTTAATGAAAATCATTAAAAGTTCACAAAGGTCAAATGGCCAATCTAACTACAAAGTGGCTCCTCCCTTGGAAGAAATCAACGATGACACGCCTGATAATCAACGAATCAAAAAATTCACTAAGCTTATGTGAAGGCCAAAGTATGAAACCTGACAACTGAGAAACAAAACCACTTGTCAAGCCAGTAGTGTCTGTTTTGCAACGAACAATCTCAACTCTATAAATCTTAAGGTGAGGTGGTGTTTAGAATTTAATAATTCAGATGTGTCTAATACAATTAGTATACAAACTAAAATTCCCGAACTTAGAAGAAATTCATATACCTAGGATAGGATCGACTATGAGACCTTATTTCAAGTTCATCTCAGAAAACGTGATGAATATTTTAAAGATTTAATTAAACTCAACAAAAAACAATAGATTAAATTGTTAGATGTTTCGAATGACCGAGTGAGATATCTTCTAATTAAAACCAAAATCGATGATAAACCCATTACTTAATCTGGGAAGATTTTCTTCAACTGCAAGACAATTTTAGAAACACATTCTCTACAGAATCTCAACTAATTAAAATTAATGAGATGATTCGATAAGACCTGGTTTTGGTTCTTATCCTAATACATATCTAATTCTATCCAGATTTTTTTGCTAATCCATAAATTAAATCTTTAACTACATTCCTGCTATAAATATACCCCAGTGCACAAGCACTGCTTCCTCAGCCAGCGTTACATTCCATCTTTTTTTCATAATTTACCTCCTCTCCTCTCTTGAAAGGTCTGCAAATTCTCCGAAATCCTTTTTCAAACTTTCGGTACTTTTTTTCGTGTTTTAATTTTCGTTCAGTTTTAATTTCCACGCAATCAATCTGAAACAATGTTACCTGTACAGGATTGACTAGATAGTAACGATGCCAAAGGCAAGGTCGTTAGTCCTCTTGGTAGGACTTTTGTGCTTGTGCTGCTTGGGAGGCACGGCACAAGCAGAGGCGGAGTACATGGCATACAAGGACCCGAAACAGCCCGTAAATCATCGTATAAAGGACCTTATGGGTCGAATGAAGCTAGCCGAAAAGATTGGTCAGATGACGCAACTGGATCGTGCCAATGTCACAGCTGACATCATGAGGGACTTCTCATTAGGCAGTATACTGAGTGGCGGAGGGAGTGTGCCGCGGCTACAGGCCAGTCCACAGGACTGGATCAAAATGTTCAATGAGTTTCAAAATGGTTCACTTTCAAGCCGGCTTGGAATCCCGATGATTTATGGCATTGATGCGGTTCATGGCCACAATAATGTTTATAGGGCAACAATTTTCCCACATAATGTCGGACTTGGAGCTACTAGGCATGTGCAAGTATTCAACATACACATTCATAGCTACCTTGGAAAACTATGTTTTTACCTGCTACTTAAGTTCTTCAATTTGTATGACGATTTGCTGATCTTGTAGGGATCCAGAACTAGTGAAGAATATTGGTGCTGCAACTGCTCTTGAAGTTAGAGCTACTGGCATCAATTATGTATTTGCACCATGCATTGCGGTATGCCATCAAATAACTTAACAGTTTTCGGAAGTTGTATATTTTTTTGTAGTAGTTGGATTGATGTTCATCTCTTATTAATAATCACTAATTCATATTAAAATTAATCTTTAACCCTAATGTACTGGACACTAGGTCTGCAGAGATCCGAGATGGGGTAGGTGTTACGAGAGTTATAGCGAAGATCCTGCAATAGTAGAACAAATGACTGATATCATACTCGGATTGCAAGGTGAACCTCCAGCTGGTTTAAGGAAGGGCGTTCCTTATGTTGGTGGAAAGTAAGTTGATCAAGTATATGTTGTACGTACTTCTGTTTAGAAAAATCAAATATCCTCGACTCAGCTTTGTTACCACGCTACCTAGCTACTGTTCGGAGTAGGTATTAATAAATACAGTTTGAAACAAAAAGAAAACATATATAACTTAGTTCAGGTGTGATCGAAGTTGTCAAATTTTAAGTTTATGTTGTTTCATCACAATATGTGGTAAAGTTGACAATGCCATGATTTCGTTGATTATGTTAGTACTTCTAGGTTTACAGTAAACTAGGAATTCCTGATTTGAATAACTTGTTTGTGATATTATATAGGGACAAGGTAGCCGCCTGTGCAAAGCACTTTGTTGGAGATGGCGGAACAGTCAAGGGCATCAATGAGAACAACACAGTGATTGATAGGCATGGACTGCTGAGCATTCATATGCCTGGTTACTACCATTCTATCATCAAGGGTGTCTCAACAATCATGGTGTCCTACTCGAGTGTGAACGGGAAGAAGATGCACGCCAATCACGAGTTTGTCACCAAATTTCTTAAGGGTACCCTTAAGTTCAGGGTACATTAATTTAACTTTGAAATTGCACTACATTAATTGGAAATACTGGCTATATATATATATATACTGGAAAATGAATGAACTAACACTATTAACTAGTGTGATTGTTCAAATTCAGGGTTTTGTCATCTCTGACTGGCAGGGTGTTGACAAAATTACCTATCCGCCCCATTCTGATTATCCAAACTCTGTTCTTGCTGGTATTCAAGCTGGCATTGACATGGTTAGTTGCTCGAATCTTAGACCAAGATATGTAAATGGTAATTTTGTTCGAGTGGTTTGGTTCACTTTTATGATACTGAAGCTGTATGTTGGTTTATTTTTAGGTCATGGTTCCGTTCAATCACACCGAGTTCATTGATATCGTAACAACCCATGTCAACAACAAATTAATCCCCATGAGCCGTATTGATGATGCCGTCAAGAGAATTTTGCGAGTCAAGTTTGTGATGGGTTTGTTTGAGAACCCGTTGGCTGATCAGAGTTTTGTTGACAAGCTTGGAAGCCAGGCTAGTACTCTTGATCAGATATACTAAATTGTTTTTAAATAAAAAATAAACATAATCAAGTAATATGAAAACGTTTACCTATGTGTGCTGAATAATGTGCAGACTCATAGAGATCTGGCACGCGAAGCAGTCAGGAAGTCGCTTGTGCTGCTGAAGAATGGGGAAAATGCAGATTCACCAGTTCTACCGCTCTCTAAGAAGGCGAAAAAGATCCTAGTTGCTGGAACTCATGCCAACAACTTGGGCTATCAGTGTGGAGGTTGGAGTCTCACGTGGCAAGGACTTACTGGCAACAACAACACTGCTGGTTCGTATCTACTTATAATTGTTTTTCTTTTTTTTTGATATGAGGGATAGTGAGGAAAGAGGAATCAAACATAGGATTTCGGTTGCAAGGACAATGCTCTTAATCGCTTGCATATAATTTCTACTCATACGAGTATACTTAATTTAAACATCGATCACATTATTGTAACTGAAATATTTTATGTGCATACAGGAACCACCATCCTAAGCGCCATCACAGCTGCAGTTGATCCCAGCACAGAAATTATGTTCAGCGAAAACCCTGATGCTGATTTTGTCAAGTCTAATAACTTTTCCTATGCCATTGTTGCCGTTGGGGAGCCCCCTTATGCTGAGACCAACGGGGATAGCTTGAATTTGACCATTGCAGAACCAGGTCCAAGCACCATCACCAATGTCTGTGGTGGAGTCAAATGCGTGGTTATCGTTGTCTCTGGCCGTCCTGTTGTGATTGAGCCCTCCGTTTCCTCGATTGATGCGCTTGTTGCTGCATGGCTTCCGGGAACTGAAGGCCATGGAGTGAGTGATGTTCTTTTTGGAGATTATGGATTCACAGGAAAGCTTCCTAGGACATGGTTCAAGACAGTAGATCAACTCCCTATGAATGTTGGTGATGCACATTACGATCCCCTCTTTCCCTTCGGTTTTGGACTTACAACCGATCCAGTTGATCAGTCATCTTAGTTAATACTTGTTCTAGCTCTCTCTTTGTTCTACTTGTCATTTCTTGGATTAATAACTCAACCCCTTCGGAATTTAAATTATATGTTCAATGTATTTATTTTCTTCTATATTAGAGAGAAAGAGAGAGTTAATCGGCCGCATGAGCTGCGGAAATACAGGAAGATAAAAATCTCACTGGAGAAGTTGGCCATGCTCAACAATAAGCAAACTCCGTCGCATTTGTAGCAACACGACTAAGGACTTCAAATAATCAATAAGAAAAGAGTATACTATCAACCAAGCTCGATATCAATAAGCTCTAACAGCCTATCCAACAGCTGCTGCAAACTTGATTTTTAAAATAGTCATGAATCTCGCTATCTAGTTGAATTTGAATTGAATCCAAGCCTGACTTGGTCTAACAGTCTTTTATTTATTTTGAATAAATAATATTAGTGTAAGAGAGTGCAACTAGCATTACATGCCCACTCCTACGGGGACTGAGGAATGCATCGGACGGCCGCGAATAGCTCCTTCTTATAAGCAATGCCTTGTACCTTTACAACTTAACGACTATTATTCCTATAAATATAAGACCTCAGTCCATCCGTGTTACATCACATACATTCACATTCTCTTGTTTTGTATATTACAAAATTTCCAACATTAGTTGGCTCACTCGTTCTATTAATATTGATCTGGTATACTGTTTTTCTACGCTGATTCTTTACTCTTTTTTCTTTCCAGACTTCCTATAAATATACGGCTTCCTCTTTCTTTTTTTTCTTTTTTTTTTATGTTTTATTTTCCAATAAAAAGGAATGCTGTTTCCTAATTTACTCTCTTTTCTTTTCAGAGTTCGAATGTATACTGAGAAACTTGATCTATTTAACGTGTACAGGTTTAATTTAATCGAAATAGTTTCGGATCGAGGATGATAAAGCCGAGTTCATCAGTCCTCTTAGTGGGACTTTTTTGCCTTTGCTGCTGGACAGAAATGACAAAGGGAGAAGAAGAGGACATGAAATACAAGAACCCTAAATATAGTATTAATGATCGGGTAGAGGACCTTCTAGCCCGAATGACGCTAGAAGAAAAGATCGGTCAGATGGCACAAGTAGACCGCGGCAATATCACAGCTGAGGTCATGAAGGAGTACAATATAGGCAGTATTCTGAGTGGCGGGGAGAGTGTGCCACGAACACAGGCTACTACGCAAGATTGGGTCGACATGATCAACAAGTTTCAGAATTGGTCACTTGCAACTCGGCTTGGAATCCCTATGATTTACGGCATTGATGCGGTTCATGGCCACAACAATGTGTTCAAGGCCACAATCTTCCCGCATAATGTTGGACTTGGAGCTACCAGGCAAGTCATTATTCTTTGATAAAGAACAACCCGAAAATTATTCGTTGAAAGGAATTTAATCATTGGCCTATCCTAGTCCTAACTCATTTCCTCAGCCTCCTTTGCTCGCTCTTGCGCTAGTAGTGTTCATTTGGGTGTTTTTATATGACAATTTCAGGGATCGAGAACTTATCAGGAGGATTGGTGCTGCAACTGCTCTTGAAGTTAGAGCTACTGGCATTCAGTATACATTTGCACCATGCGTCGCGGTAATGCTATCCATTCCTTGAACAATTTGGCGTTCAAGTTGCAATATTTTTCTAGCGATTGGAATCACCTTTATTCTCAGATAATCAAACTACTTGAATGAACATGTACAATGAACAGGTCTGCAGAGATCCGAGATGGGGTAGGTGTTACGAGAGTTACAGCGAGGATCCCAGTATCGTAAAACAAATGTCCGAATTAGTGATTGGATTGCAAGGTGAAATTCCAGCTGGTTCACCAAAGGGTGTTCCTTACGTTGGTGGACCGTAAGTTGTACTAGTATTGTTCTACTACTGTGTTCATTCATGAATGCTAAGTCTTACTACCATGCATTTTTCCTCATCCCATTAATTTCTTCATCATGATGTATGTATATGTAGGGATAAGGTGGCGGCCTCTGCAAAGCACTTTGTGGGAGATGGCGGCACCACCAACGGCATCAACGAGAACAACACTGTGATTGATTGGCAAGGATTGTTCGAAATTCACATGCCTGGTTATATCGAGAGCATAGCCAAGGGTGTATCCACTGTCATGGTGTCCTACTCCAGCTGGAACGGAGTCAAGATGCACGCTAACTATGAACTCATCACCAAATATCTTAAGGACACCCTTAACTTTAAGGTAAGGTACAACCAAACTGTAAAGTTCAACTACATCTGGGGTCGCCAAATATGTTCATCAAATGACGTGACAGTGTTTCATTTATCCGATAAAATGGGACACAGACGGCAGTAACGCTATCATGCATTGATGCGGCATGTTGTTAATTTTGCAGGGTGTTGTCATCTCTGACTGGCTGGGTGTTGACAAAATTTCGAATCCACCCATGACGAATTATTCGAACTCGCTACTTCTTAGCATTCAAGCTGGTCTTGACATGGTCAGTTGCTATATATCTTCAGCTTCCATGTTATCAATGCAAAATATACATGAATGTTAGTACTGTAACTGCACCATATCATATTGTTTTTCAGATCATGATTCCCCACAACTATACTTTCTTTGTCAAATTTCTAACCAACCATGTCAACGAGAATCGAATCCCAATGAGCCGTATCGATGATGCAGTTAGGAGAATACTATCTCTCAAGTTCATGATGGGTCTGTTCGAAAAGCCAATGGCGAGTTACGAATATATTCCCTGGCTTGGATGCCAGGCACACAGAGATTTGGGAAGGGAAGCTGTGAGGAAGTCACTAGTTCTTTTGAAGAATGGAAAAACCCCAAATGATGCACCAATGCTGCCACTCCCAAGAACGGCCAAAAGGATCCTTGTTGCTGGAACCCATGCCAACAATTTGGGCTATCAATGTGGGGGTTGGAGTCTCACTTGGCAAGGAGTTAGTGGCAACAACCATACTGTTGGTATGTACATGACGTAACAATGCTAAGTGGCAGAATAGTTAAAAGATGACATGCGGTCAAATTTGATAACCAAAAATACATGTTATGCTTTTCAAACTGAACTGTTCTCTCACTCGGTAGACGTGCTTTACATTAATACTATATAGTTGGAAACAAAATGTTTACCTTTGTATTCGAAACAGGAACCACAATACTAGGTGCCATCACAAAAGCAGTTAACGAGACCACAGAAATTTTCTACAGTGTAAATCCCGATCTTGAACTTGTCACGTTAGGTAAGTTCGATTACGCTGTGGTTGCTGTTGGTGAGCTCCCCTACGCTGAGACGAAAGGGGACGATTCAAATTTGACAATGATAGAACCAGGTCCGAGCGTTATAAAAAACATATGTGGGGCAGTCAAGTGTGTTGTGATCGTAGTATCTGGGCGTCCGATTGTGATGGAGCCCTACATTTCGTCGATTGATGCTCTCGTGGCTGCGTGGCTCCCCGGAACAGAAGGCCAAGGAATCGCTGATGTTCTATATGGTGACTATGGATTCACTGGAAAGCTTGCTAGGACATGGTTCAAGAGAGTAGATCAGCTCCCTATGAATGTTGGTGACAAAGATTATGATCCCCTCTTTCCCTATGGTTTTGGACTTACAACTCAACCTAACGCCAACTCAACTTCGGCAAACTCGTAAGTAATTGTTAAATTAGCAGATGAACTTACATAAAATGGGTTCACCGTCAATGTGACTTTCCAATCTAATAATGCAATGCCATGTAAAGAAAAATCTTACACTTGGCATTACATTATTGGTAGGGGACACAACGTGACAATACCACTTTACAAGTCAACACCTTTATATGATGCATTGGGTTGCTACATTCCTAATTTGTATAGAAGAACATCAATTATAGATTCCTCACTAAAAAGAATCATAGTCATCAAGAAATTCTCACAAACTTTAACATGGTGTCAGAGCGGGAGCGGCTGCTCCTAGATCATCTCAAGCATCTTGGTCAAGCGTGTTGTTATCGTTGTCTCTTGGAGCCCTGTTGTGGTTGAGCCATTAACTTCACCGGTTGATGCTCTCGCAGCAGCATGGCTGCCGGAACTGAAGGAAGACCAAGCAATTACCGACGCTCTCTTCGGAGATTATGGATTAACCGGAAAGCTTCCAATGACCTGAGTGTAGATCAGCTCCCTATTGGCAAGCTCATCGCTCTTTTTCTTTCCCTTATCTTGCTATTTGTTTCGTTTTTTGTACGAATAAGCAAGCTGTTATCAGCCGTTGGATGTAAAACAGTCTGTTAGTAAGATGATGTAACTGATAATGCAGACAATAAAATTTGAAACGGCACCTTAATGTACTTGTTTAGCGCCTTTCTACTGTTCTAAACGCGGTTTTATGGTGCTTGAGTAATGCATTGGCAGCACTCTACTCGAATCCAAAGTTGTTCGATATTTAAAGTCCCTCGTCCAAACACAAACACAAATACAAACATCAAAAGCACGATATGCGCAAACAGAATTTGCATGTTTTATTTTGTGCAATTGAAAGTTTGTAAGAGTTGAGTTGTCTTGTGCAAGAACCAGAGACCGAAAAATAACACATCGCGTCAACTAAGCATTATGTAGACCTCCCAAAGGGAAACAAAACGAAACCAGCAGACGACGTAAATTCTTGAATATTATACATATATACTTATTCTCATGGTTCATAGTGGCATTCCATGTTATGGATTAAAAGTATTATGTGCTAATGGTTCGTTCTTATGAGCAATACAATCTTACACGGAAATTGTCAATGGATGAAGCGAATGGTTCTTCAGCATCTAGACTTGAGCATATACAGAAGCAAACCCACTTTGTACAACATCTCCCTCTATCAGTGTGTCAATTTACCAAAATGCAGACTGCTCCTCCTTCATTCCTGTTATTGAACCACGCTGGACGGACCAAAACAAAAAAAAACATTGTTCAATTCCAAAACGAAGCTGGTAATATAACAGTAAAATAATCACCCTGCAGCCATTCATCTACAATGACAAAAACTCCTCAAGGGCATTTTTCCTTGCCCATTGTCTGGTTTTAAAAATCATGACCTGGAACTTCTGCCCCAAAGAACCTAATCAACTTCATGAAAAAAAAAAGAATACTACTAAAACGAAAATGCAAAAGTTGTTCTAACCTTTACTCCGCATTGTGAGACTGGTCGCGCTCGATGAAATCCAATGCATCATCCTTTGATACAACATTGACACGGCTCACCCTGTTTTTATGTTCAACAGCATATATCTTGTCAGATACTTTCACAAGCTCTGGCCGGAATGTTGTGGTTATAAATTGAGTGTTTGCCATGTCTGCCAGGCGTCGGATCATATCTATCAACAGGTAATTAAGGAAGTTGTATGGCAAGTGAAACTTCCAACATAGAAATGTCAAAAGGAAATGCTTAGTAAGAGGCCGTACTAGTATTTTCCATGTCTACCCTTGTGACTCGATTCCTGCTACAGGATAGCTTTAAGATCTGTATCACCTAGTATTCTTGCTTTGGTTTTGTTTTTCTAGGGTTTTATCATGGTCACAGATAAATCAATCCGTTAATTAAAAGAAATTTAAGGCGGCTTTCTTTCCATCTCTAGGTTATCTACATGTGGCAGCTTAACCAACTTTTGATCTAAGGGAGTCGGAAAGAATGATCAAAGCTATTGGTAGAACTAGAAGAGGGGACATATAATTAGTCATTCATCCCTTAACCAACTTTTGCTCCATTGGCGTGTAGGACATCAGAACCTACAATCTGTGTCCCTAATAAAACAAGCATGCAAAGTTACTTTAGGAGATCTAGGAACCTGTTGGCTGACAAATGAACATAATATTTGAACGCCTGGTGAAAACGCTTTCATTCGAGCAGAAAGAAAAACAGAAAACAAAATACAATATAAAGGATACTTCCAACAGCGGTTCTGTACTGAGGATCAAGTGCTGCATCTATTTCATCAAAAAGATAAAATGGCGCAGGATCACATCGCTGGATGGCAAAAATAAGCGTTAGCGCAACAACAGTTTTCTGACCCCCAGACAACTGCTTCATGGACTGAGTCTCCCCTTGTCCAGTGAAAGAAACCTGCCAAAAGAAAAAAAAAACGAATTTAAAAATAAATACAACCTTAATGAAAACGCTATTACATCTATTTTTTTTTTCTATTCTTTTCAATTTGAACAACTTTGTACCTGAGGCTGGATTCAATTCCCAGTCTCACAGAGGGAGTATATAATTTTGCCAAATCAATTATAATTTAAGGTATCTAAATCTCTGACCCACAGATCCCAAGGGCACATGCAGACCCGCAAACCAAATGGGTGGGACAAACAATGGGAGGTGGCCCCACAAGAGTATACACATCAGTGGCTAATCCAACTTGAGACCTATGCTTTCTGGGGCACTTATTCGACCAGTCCTACCACAGGACTAACCCCATGGGGTTGCTCGCCACTTAATATCACAAATATTTGTTAGCTCTCAATCACAAATAATTATTAGCTCTCAGTTTAACTTTTTAGTAAAAAGTACAACAGAAAATACGTGCCTTCACTTTTACACCAATATATTTCTCAACTCTTCCCTCCAAATCCGCATCACGTGGTCCATCCTCATCCTGATCATCATCATCATGGTGACCATCCTGCAGATTTAATACCCATATTCAGGTAGGATCATTAGAATTTTTACTAATTGTCTAAAATGAAGGCAACATTCAAGAAGACAATCCTACATACTTAAGCCAATCTAGTTATGTCTAGGCTCTTTTGACGACAAATCCAGAAATAGAAACCATTTTTAATTATCTATTTAATGGAGAAAGAAACTGCATTTTTTCTGAAAGAACATTTAGATGGGACAGAGTGTCGAGCATCTCTGGCCCCTCAGCTAACAGAGATGCAGTAATGGTACATTCTTTCAGTTGATAATGAACCAATAAACGCAAAGCATCAAGCTATGTCCACGCATATCAGGATTGACTCCAAAGAGGAAAAACTGAAGAGTTCAAGTTCAGCAATAAACCTTTTTCTTCATCATAACAAGGTGCCCATGGCCACCTTGCACAAGTTCTGAGAAAACTTCTCGGAAGTGCCTAGCAACACCTTTAAAAGTACGTTCTATTGATTCATCTTTCCTTTGATCCAAAACCTTTATAAGTTCATCAATTTTCTGCAAAATTTGAAATAAACAAATAAATAAATGGCAAGACTACCTAATTTTAGCCAATCTTTAAAAGAAAAAACTAACTCAATACAAGAGATCTGACAGTGAATTGATACCTGATCACCCGCTTTCAGCTCAGCTTGCCTCTTCTGGAGCTCTTCTCGTTGCTCAGTAAAATTTACGTACTGATCAAGTGCTTTCTTGTTGACATGACTAAACTGTTGCAGTTGTTCATTGCATCTATGCAGCGCTTTATGCAAATCTTTGATGCCCCTTCGCTTATACCTACCATTTCAAGCAGAAGAGAACAAATAAATACGAACCTACCAACGGTGTTGCATCTCGACGTAAGAACAAATAAATAAGAATCTAGCCAATGCATGCATCAATGATTGACTGTCATCACACAGGTTGAATTACTAACTAAATAGGACTCGAGCTCAAGTAACACGGCAGGTGGGAAACAGTTGTTCTTAGATTCAAATCTTGGCAGGAGAAGTGGTAAAAGATCTCAAGGTGCAAATGATTTCATCAAATAGAAAACCTAGATAGTACCCAAATAGATTATGAGAATTTGGACCTAAACAAGATCACAATATTGTGTACATAATATTGACATTAATTATTCCGTAAAATAATTCAAGTATGGAGCAATACGCTTCAAAAGCATCCGATGACAATGGACCCAATTCCCTGATTTTCTTTGAGTATTCTTCTTGTTTTGCAAGAAACACATTTCTTTTACTCAACAGTTGCTCTAACTCTTTGGCTTCATCCTGAAGTGTCCTCTCATACTTGTCTTCCAAAGTCTGCATCCACAAGTAGTCATCTTAGCAGCAGCAACACGCATTTAGAATCTAATAATATAACCACCTTACCTTTAACGCAGTCTTTTCATCTTTAATTCTCTTGAGCTGCTTTGACTGGCTATCTATACTTTCAGAAACTCCTGATGAACAAAAGTGTAGTTAAAACACAGAACAAAACTCAGAACTTCAGAATGGGCATTTCAAAAACAGTAGATCAATGCCTCACTTTTGAGCTGCTCTGTTGCATCTTTAACCAATAATTCAGCATCATTAAGTTCCTGCATCTTAATTTCAGCTTCACCATTATAATTCTCAGTCTCCACAGAAGATATTATGGCTTCTAGTTCTTGCCTCCGCCTCTCAAGGTTTGTGGTTAAATTAGTTTCCAGCTCAGCCTTTCTTGTTTCAGTCTATATATGCACATGAGGAGTAGAAGGAGATATGCACATAAGGACACAGTTACACAGTAATACTCTAAATACTAATCAACTATATTTGAATAACCTCAAAACGATCTGTCTTGCATGAAATAAGCTTCTCTTTAAGATCTGCTATTTCGGGGTTTAATCTTGAAAGAAGATCCTTCTCATCTGGAGATAAATGATCAATGAGATCTGTGCCCATTTCAGCTCTCTTCATGGCCATACTGGCTCTAAGCTGAGTAATTTGAGTCTCCACATCAGCCAGTGATTTTTTCTACGGTCAAGAGGGAAGAATATAAGCACACACAACAGATAATTGAAACTCCTACAGGCACTGGAAGTTGTCATTTCAAATGCCAAAAATACCTTATTCCCACAGGCTTTGGAAATCAGATTCTTCTGCTTATTAGCATTAGCAATGTCCTGCTTAAGTTGTTCCAGTTCTGATTTGTCATGGGCCCGCTTAGCATCAATTTTCTGCTGTTCAGTTACGAGTTCTGTAATACTCCTGTCTATCTGTGAGGTAAATTTAGTAAAAACAAGGCTATATTTTTCGGATAGACATAGAGAGTATATCACCAAGAGAGAAATGAGAAGTACAATCAGGTGAACCAGCAGTCCACAAAAGCAACCCAAAACCAATAGGAAAAGTCAACAACAAAAACAGGGTAAATGAAAAGAACAAAAATCAAAGGAATATAAACAAACAACATCCCACTCTAAAAACAAAACACCTACCCAATCTAAATATATCAAACTAACTGGAATGCTCAAAAAATATTTAGACAATGACGCACAAAAGGATTACCTGCTTGATACTGGTCATTTTTATTCAATTTCCTTTTCATACCTTTCTCCTATTTAGGTAGTTAAGACAGTAACATTAAAACTCAGGCGGGGGCCTGTGATTATCTTTCATCAGATTTTTCGT